AGAAGAAGAAGAACATCACCAACAACAACAAAAAACAAAATTATCATTTATTACACGTAATGAATGGACTTGTTTTATGAGTCCACTTTTAAATACTATAAATGAAGATAAATTAACATTTGTTAATGATTTATTACCATCATTATATTCTCTATGTCAAAATTTATTACATGATATTAATCAAGAATTTTTTAAACATTCAAATCCTTATTTATATTTAACTCGACATAATAATTATAGTCGTTTATCTCGTTTTCAATGTATTTTACTTATAAAAATTCTTCGTCCTGAACTTTTACTTCCATCAATTTCACAATATGTTGCTGAACAAATGGGTAGTAAATTTTTATCATCAGGTTTTGCTGATATACAAGATATTTATACACATTCATCACCACAAGCACCTATTATTTTACTTCTTTCATCTGGTATATTTTTGTTTTGTAAAAAAAGAGAAAAAATTGATTAAATATTTTTTTTTTGTTGCGTGTTTTTGAATAGGAACTGATCCAACTAATCTTCTTCTTCGTTTTGCTAAAGAAACACGTGGAAGTGCATCACATCTTGATGTTATTTCATTGGGTCAAGGTCAAGGACCTAAAGTTGAAGAAGTTTTATCAAAAGCATTAACATTAAAAGGTCGTTGGATATTTTTACATAATTGTCATTTAAGTGCATCATTTATGCCAAGACTTCGAGTTCTTGTTAATAAGTATGATTATTTTTATTTTTTATTTATATTTTAAAGATTTATTTTGTGATTATAGTTTTAGTAAACCTGGTCTTGAACTTGATAGTCAATTTCGATTATTTCTTTCAACTAAACCTGATATTCATTTTCCTCTTGAACTTTTACAACTTGGTCTTAAAGTTTGTTTGTTTTTTTTTTTGTGTGAATTATATTGTTTCCAAATATTTTTCATCTTATATTTAGATGACTATTGAATGGCCAGTAGGTTTAAAAAGTAGTCTTCTTCAAACTTTTGGACCAACAGGTATTGTTAATGAAAAAGTTTATGATAATGAAACATTAGGTAAAAAAAAAATTTTATTTCATATTTTCTTTTTATTTGAATATGATTTTAAATAAAATGTTTAGGTCCATATTGGCGTCGTTTAGTATTTAATTTAGCTTTTTTTCATGCTGTTATACATGAACGTAAAAAATTTGGTGCATTAGGATGGAATTTATCATATGAATTTAATCAATCTGATTTGGAAGTAGCTGTACTTGAATTAGAAAGTCTTGTTCGTCGTTCAAAAAATCAAATACCATCATTTGATGTTTTTTGTTATCTTGCTGGTTCAGTTATTTATGGTGGTCGTGTTACAGATGAATTTGATCGACGAAGATTATTACGTATTATTGAACGATTCTATTGTCCTGAAACATTAAAAGAAGATTATTCATATGCAGGAGATGAGGTAATAATATTTGTTCTTGATAATTTTTTTTCTTTTCTAAGAAATTATTTATTTTCATTTAGACATACAAAGCACCAAATTTAAATTTAAATTTTTCTGGTCTTCTTTCATATATAAATGCTCTACCAGATTTTGATGATCCACGTGTATTTGGTATGCATCCAAATACAAATCGAGCATTAATGTATGTTCAAGCAAATCAATTAGTTGATATGTTAGTAACAATTGAACCACAATATCGAATGATGATTTCATTAGGGTATAAAATATCTTTTGTTTTTTTGTTTTGAAATTTTGTATTTATTTATTTTAAATATTAAAAAAAAAATTTGTTTGTAGTACGTCATCCGATAGTGATACTGCTTGTATGGCAATTATTGATGATATTACAACAAAATTACCACGTTCAATTGAAACAGGTTTTGGCCCACAAGCACGTCATATTACATTTGAAAATGCATTAATAAAAATAAGTGATAAATTAGGTAGAAAATTCTTTCTTTTTCTTAAATAACGGATGCGCTAGGATAAAAGATCTTCTACGTATTTTCTCAATATCTCTCTCATCGATACTCAGAAAGTCGAAAGAAAAACGATTTGACAGCGTTTAACGATCTAATATGAGCAGTGAATCGTTCTGAATCTGATAAGAATGACGATATAAAATAAAAAAAGGCAAATTTTCACCAAAAAGTCATGGTCTGGTCGAGAGCATGTTCAAACGGTGTAATACCATTGATAATTTTGGATGAGATAACGCTCGATATATAAAAGAAATACTTCCAGTGTCTCTCACTCAGATGAATCATTCTGGCTCCCGAATCCATGTTTAGTTCGAGGTGGAGTTGGCCACTGGATTCCTGCTTCTAAGTTCATACTATTTTCTCGAGCTCTCTGGCTGAAGGTCTTCGAAGGTCATTGGGTATTTCAACAAGATGGAGCTAGATCATACAAGCAATCACTTAATTCAACAATAGTGTCAAGATAATTTTGCAGCATTTATAGACAACGATCGCTGACGTCCTAATAATCCACATTTAAATCTTTTGGGACTATTGCATTTAGAATGAATTCGTTGGGATTATTGATTGGAACAAGGTGATATAAAAAAAAATGTGGTTTTTTTGATGATAGAATTAAAATGCACAGTAAAAAATCAGAGACGCGAAGTTGTAATTCTTAAACTCTTCATTTGTTGAATGTATCTAACAACGATGGAAACTATTTACGGTATTAACGACGAGATCCATCCGACTAATAATCTCTGTTGAAGCTCATATTTTACTGATAGGTAGAATTCATAGTGTACATAAAAAAATCTGAAAGGTTTTATACTATTAGACCTTTCTTTTTCGAGTTATAATCATTTTACTTAACTTCCAGCCTATTGCAGGATATCACGAGAAAAATCGTAACAAGAAATTTCAGACCGAAGCTCCTTGTTACGATTTTCCTCGTGATATTCTGCAATTGGCTGAAAGTTCAGTAAAACTACCATAACTCGAAAAGAAAGATCTAATAGTACGAAGTCTTTCAAGATTTTAGAAAAAAAACCATCAAGATAAAGCAATGAATCGACTGAGAAATTAAGAAAATACGTAGAGAGATATTTATCCTGTCGTATCCATTATATAAGTATATCTTTATTTTTACTTGGTTGTTTTTTTAGAAAGTAAATATCATGCTTATTCAGTGTTTTTTTCATTACTTAAACAAGAAATTCGTGCATATAATGAATTACTTGAATTAATTCACGCAACATGTCATGATTTACGTCGTGCATTAGTTGGTGAAACAGTTGTTAGTGAAATTTTAGAAGAAACTCAACGTACATTATTAATGCATGAAATGCCTCGTATTTGGAAAGTATGTAAAAAAGTTGAATTTTTTTTATTTCTAATGGTAGTTTATATCAAACTAACAAATAGGAACTAACACATTATAATGGTGTAAGATATTTTTATGTTTCGTCTATTGTTTAAGATAAAATTTTGTTCGATCATTTATTTCATCCTCTTTTGTACTTATCTCGTTCTCCCTTTTCCCCTACCCTGTTTTTTTTACAATCCTGCATGTATGGATAATTGTAGAATGAATTTGAAGAAAATAAAGAAATAAATTTTATTGAAATTATTTGTTTTTCTTTATCTAGAAAAAATCTTATCCATCAACAAAATCACTTCGAGCATGGATAGCTGATAATCTTGTACGAATAACATTTTTTAAAGAATGGACTCGATTAATAGTAACTTATGTCGAAGATAAAAATCCATCACCATTACCATCTATATTCAATATTGGTGCATTCTATTATCCGAAAGGTTTTTGTTTTTATTGAAATATAAAAATCATTACTTTTTTTGTTTTATTTTTAATTATATTCCAGGACTTTTTTCAGCAATTCTTCAAAGTTCAGCTCGATCAATTGGATTACCTATTGATCAATTAAAATTTACCTATCAAGTATTAGATAATAATGAAGAACGTCAAATACTCCAATCATCGACTGTAATTTCTAAATATTGTTTATCTTCAAAAATTTATATTTTCTAAGTTTTTTTTTTTTTTTAGTCAATAAATGATATTGCTAATGGTATTACTATTGATGGAATCTATATAGATGGTGCACAATGGGATAATGAACATCATCAAATTGTTGATTGTACAAGTCAACAACGAACTCATCGTTTACCACCTCTTCTTTGCAAATTAATACCGGTATAATGAATAAAAATTAAAAATGATTTTATTGAATAATTTAATATTTTTGCTATTTTGTAGAAAAGTATTGAAGATGTGGATTCAACAAATGTTTATGAATGCCCGGTGTATTTAACAGCATTACGAGCAGTAAGTGCGAGTGAAGCAGCAAAACATCTTGTTGGTACAATTACAATTCCATGTTCAGAAACGGAATCATTTTGGACAACACGATCAATTGCTGGTATTCTTGAAGTTAATGAATAATGTTTGAAATTTCTTATGTATTTGAAATTTAAAAGAACAAAAAGAAATTTTTATTTTTTCATTTTAATTCACTCAATAAATACAGTGATATTAATAGGGTTTTTTGGTTTTGAGATTAACTTTTTAACAAAACAATTCATGCTTAATAGAAGAAAAACGTATGACATGATCAGAAAAATGAAATAAACTAAAGACATGGATTATGACTTCATGAGCTTCATAATAAAAATAAAGTCAACTATATTTTGGCGAATATATTTGTAAGTTAGAGAAGATCTTAAATGTAGACCTTAATTCAAATATATTTTCCTATGGAACATTCCGTTGAGAAACTGCACATCTAAAGCAACAAAGTGTTCTTCGCAATACTTATAATTATTCTTGATCCAATTGTTTTCATATGATATCTTTCCGATGGTTATGTTGTAAGACAAGTTCTTATTACTTTTAATGTCTACATCTTTATTATTATTCTAATAATTATTTTAGTAGAATAATCGGGAGAAGTTTATTTTTATTCTTCACTTCGAGTTGTATATGTAATGGTATCAATTAAATTAGTCTTTTTGATCAGTCTAAAACTTATTTTTAGTTATAATCAACCTCGGAGTTGTTAAGTAAACTGGATTTGTTATATAAATCAAAACAAGAACGAATTCTAAAACTCGCACAGTTCTCCGAATTCTCCGCTTGAAGAACAATTCAATATTTTTATAACTAATTTATGTGTTTGTTATCAATGAATAAGATGAATTCAGTCACAATCGTTTTCATCTAATTCATTAAAATAGCTTCATCAATTAATTAAAATAACATCTAGATAAATTGTCTCTTCAATATAGTTAGAATAATTTATTAAAGTATTCATAAAAAAAAACTTTTTCTCTTCAACATTATCGTGAGAGTACTTTTGGACAAGCATGATAAAGAGTGCAGTTTTTTGGTTAAGCTGGTACTTCATATTCATAAAGTTTTATCATAAATTTGTGCCATTGCCTAATACCAGC